CACCTCTATCGTGTCAGTACAGACTCTTGCGCTGCTCGTTTAACCTTGAGGATGTCAATACTGACCGGGGAGTAATAAGAAACGGACCAATGGCTTCCGTACCTAATCAAACAACAAAAAATCTTATGTACAAAAGCATTTCTCCAAACAGATGCATACTGATCCACAGACGCTCGTGGAATATGTTGATCCGGATAGAGATGTCACTATGCGATCTCAGTGGGACAGTGGCTACCAAGAATTTAGGAGATTAACAATGAGCAGAAGCGGCGGCGAATGTTCTGCGAGTGATCCAAAACGTCTCCGACTGCTGAAAATAGAACATCAATAATTATACAGGTCCTTATATACGAATGCAGCTTTTGAACCGAAACTGGCACATTTAACATTGTTCAATTGCTACAACAACCACACATAAGTTGACATAACCTCTCCGTGGCACAGATACTAGTACTGATACATGTAAAACCATGTGAATAGACAAGTGTTAATTACATTAACCCTTAACGGCATGACATCGTAAAGGCCATTACGAGTTAATTATAATTTACTGCATGGCAGGCCATAGCGTTAAACCTTCCACATAAGTAACACATCATATAGGGTGTATATGCTACAAAAGCACACACAAATATTTACGCAAGACGACTTCATTAAATTGAATTTGCAAATGTATGTTTACTCGACGCAGATTTATGTACATTTTACCTGTAAAGTTTTTGATAATTTTTTGGTTGATTACACATTCTAATTTTGCAATTAAGACAGCGAAACATTATTTGGAATAACAAAACGGAAAAATTGCCCATGTCCATTAAACTGTTTCTGTAAACCACTCACTGGAATAGTCATGATTCTGTTTGCGTGGAATTACTTGTTTATGGGAGTCTTGATCGTCTTCTGGATTGCGATAATTGACAAGCAATCTTTGGCCGTGACACCGTCAATCATGCAGCTACAACCAATGTTTTTTGACGGGATTCCATATTTCGGCGTTCCCAGTGGAAGACCAAACGCATTCGCTCCGTATCCGCTTTACAATGTGTCGGACAACTACCTGACGCCAACGAACATGACACTGAACGTTCCTGGCTATTCCCCATTCCTGATTTCTAACCCTTATGGATATTATATGCCGCCGGTATAGTTAATTATTAAACCTATCTGCAATAAGAGTACAAGAACGATCGTAAGCTACCCAGCAGTATCTGCCCTGTCTTGTGTAATAACAACGTGATCGTACTCACAAAAGTCACAAGTCACAACATGAACAGTTAACTGCGCACAGCGCTTTGGCACAATTAGGAAAATCTAAAAATTATGTAGAGTAATACTTAAGTTATTTTACAGGACAAGGTGAACCAGAAATCCCTCTAATAACCCGAGAAATTCTAATTTTTAATGCGAGATTAAGCTGACTAGCAATCCCGATGATCATTTTGCAGGTTGTTGTAGTTTACAACGAGAATGCCACGCAGCCTACTACAACTCGATCAACTACTGCCGCACCGAAAATTGCTACCACAAAAACACCGGCACCGGTTTTTGTTCCTCCGGGATTGGGTAGCCGATTTTTCGCGAAATCACTGTGGAAGAAGCCGACAAGCTTGTAGATCGCATTAACTGTATTAAACGTTCCATGCAAAAAAACGGATATCTAACAGCAGTTGAAAATAAAAGTGGATCTATTAATTAAAGTGATAATTCTCCAGCGTTAGCAAGCTCAATGAGAGTCAACTACTTCTGCGAAGCTAAATTCAGCAGGAATGTAGACAAGAGCAAAATGGCTTTAAGAAATGCCGCAAACGAAACCGCCAGCGCGCGGCCAAGCGCACCACGGCTGCCACACCCGAGATGCGAAAAAAGTGCAGTGGTTTATCGTAATACATAGGCATCTTTTGTACTCTGCATGCTTTCAGTTTGTAAAGTGTACTACGCTGAGTGCGCTCAGTCGGTACAGAAGATTTTCGGTCGTGTTTCGTGGGTTTAAGAATGCTTCCCCAGTCACTTCCCGTAGCATCCAAACGCCATTCGGCGTAGTTGTCTGCAAACGTGACGCAGCTGCTAGTCGAACTTACTAAATGTGGCGAATCTAGAGATGTATTGCGTCGCTTCTGCAAGTTGTGTCTAGGGGAAAAGCGCTTCAACACACATACATGTACAAGCAAAACTGCAGTAATCATAAGGTCAAGATATTAATTGATGTGCCAGAGCGTGAAGCTGTGCCTTATTTATAAGAGCATAAAGAATACTTCGATATTTCTGGCATTCGAGCCACTTAAGCACTATACACCTTGGCATTCAGGCCAGTGGAATGCCGGAAATGCTGGCAATGGTGGACGGCTTCCAGGAATTGACAGGGTGGCGCTGGAGGCAGGTAGTACAGCCTCGGAGATGGAGGCATGTCTGGCGACCATCTCCTTGAAAACTGTGAGCTCATATCGCTTTTGACCAGGCCCTGCGAGCAAGTTGTCGCCGGGGCGCAGAGGTAGGCAGTGACTGAAGCGGTTTTTAGCGTCGGTCAGAGGGCATCAGCACTCTTGTCTAGAGTTAATACTGAATCTCCTCGAAGTCCTGTATCCACACCGGCAGCGTTCCGGAGGCACATTTTGTTTTCCATGTCAGGCGTGTAGCGTTGCTGATGTAAACCGAATGCCTTGTTCGTTTGATATTTTCCTAGGAGTGTAAACGGTCATTCAGCCCCGTGACTTCCGTATCGTAGTCACCGTGGGAGAGATCTGAATATCCATTGAACTTTGAAGTATTCGTGGACGGCAGGTGCATTACGGAGATTTCGCTTTTGCCGAAGAGGTGGTCAACATATAAACACTGCCAAGGAAAGACTGGACATAATATTTGGGTGATTGTATGGTTCACCGCACCGTCAGCGCACCGCTCACTTCACACCAGAAAGTCAACAAATTCTCATCTCCCGCTTGGTCTCATTGGTTTCTTCGTGATCCTCTTCTGATTTTGGCAACCCGGCGATGCTACCTTTCACCTGGGAAAAGCATACGCCGTCACGTCGTATACTGACCCAGGAAACGCTTGACTGCACTGCCTGGGACCGGACGTACATGCGTTACGAATACCATGTGCCTACTGATCCTGAGAATTTTCTCTTGCTTCCCTTCTTCCGGAATGATGGATGCTATTCCCAGGTGAAAGGTAGCATCGCCGGGTTGCCAAAGTCAGAAGAGGATCACGAAAAAACCAATGAGACCAAGCGGGAGATGAGAATTTGTTGACTTTCTCGTGTGAAGTGAGCGGTGCGCTGACACCAGCGCCACATCGACCTCCAAAATAGTAACACTGCTGTCCCAGTAGGACGTGGAAATTCAAAATGAACAAAAAACGTTTTTGTGATTGATTACATATTATGTATATGCAGGGTTTGCAGTTTCTGCTTTTGCATGTACGAGCAAAGTTGACGAATTGTTACCGTACTTCTTCAGATACTGTTCTTGACCTTCGAAATAAAAGGGCAGCTGTGTTTACTGTTTAGATAAATGGAGCTGCAAAAGTTATATGGGATGCAAGCTATGTGAACGTTGTTTGTTTTGTCTGGGAGGGTCGGCACCTCCGATTATCAGTCACCTTTGAAGGTAGACCACGAGAGGCCACAGTGCGGCTGATGACGTCATCAACGGTAGATTCAAGGTCCCGGTAGTGATGGCCTTGGAGATTACAGAGATGATAACAGTGTGCTATCAAATGCGGAATATAATGATAGTATTTGGAACAGCGTTCGAGGTTGCGGCATGACTGCACTATTGAGCTTCAGTGTACAATGTCGTTATTCGTCAGGAACCGTGTGCTCGAACACCGACTGGTGGGTCGCCCGCAAGTCGTGTGGCAACAGCGCCAGAAGCAGCCTTTCGAGTTCCGCTTTGAGGAGATACCTATGCGCATCTCTTGAGAGACTCTGGCCGTTTGACGCAATAACCAATTGGCAACTGCTTTCTCCCACAGAATTCGAAACAGTTCTGACCAGCAATGGGGCGGAACTCTACTTGATCGGCTCAGTTCGGTGACCTTTTATTAGTCTTCGACGGGCCGCGCGCACTTCGCATTAGCGCACGCGGTTGATTACCGTCGTCTTGCATATCAGTCATGGTTTTGGACAGCAAACCGAAGCGACTCCTCCAAACCTACATTCTCATGCGCAGCTATCGAACAGCACCGGAAGAATGATCGAAGTGGTCCATGACTCCTTGTTAAACACTTCAGGGTAAGGATTTTATTCTTGTCCCCGCTACCTGCAGCAAACACATGTGTTCATTTTTTGCAGCGCAGATTCTTCCATACGGAGCCTGGCGAAGTGATTAACACTGCAGTTCTTAAACTGTCCCGAAGCGTCACAGCCTCCTTCGGCATCAGCTCGCTGAGTTTGTGGTAGCTATTGTAGTTTGTGTTTGTTGTTTGTGTTTATGTTTGTAGCTCGCTGAATTTGTGGTAGCTATTGTAGTTTGTGGCAGCTATTGTAGTTTGTGTTTGTGGTACTTTTTGGACACAGAGAGGCTAATTACCTTCTGTTACATGGCTGCTACTGTAGCGACTTTGTGTACGTACTTCGATTCCGCTCGCAAACTGGTCACATGGCAAATGTGCACGAACAACTGTGTAAGTCATACGTGTGATGGATGATTGCTGTGAGCATTAAGAGCTTGGTGCGACATTGGACTAACATCTGTGAATCTGTGATTACATACTGTAATTAGTAGTTTATTGTGTCACCCAACTGAAGATACACCGCTCTTTACCAGAACCACGTGCAAATCACAATTTAAAATGGTACAAGGTTTAAATTAATTACAACTAATTGTTCAGCTAGACGTTCGGTGAATAAGTCTGTTTTCTAACCCGGTGAATAAGTTCTGTTTTCTAAGTATAACCAGAATACCGGTAACACTAATTAGATTTAAAATTCCGACTACATTGTATCGAGCGGTAGCGAATTACAGTGGTCTGAACTAATATCAAATGCGAAACAAATTTAATCCAACGAATTATCGTTATTCGGCGTAGTAACAACAAGTCCGCACAACTGACAAGGTTTTCCCAGGAAACCTGTCTGATTTCGTATCGAGAACATCCGCGGTGGATTACCGTCGTCTTAAGGAGAAAATCCAAAAACTGCGTAACATGTACGCGTAAGTCGTAACAGCAAAGCAAAGAAATATCGGCCAAAATACTACAGCAAAAATACAGGTGGAAAATTGCAAATCAGGCAAGTAACCTGTCCACCGCAACATACCGCAACCGCCGTAACATACCGTAATCCAAAAGCAATAAACAAGCAACCAATGCGGTGCGTTCCCAAAGAGACGCAAACAAAATTCAGAAAATGAAAAAAACTGCCGGAATGTAAAGTTTAACCGTGTATGGCAGTGCTGCGTAAGCAAAATGACGGTACAACAAAATGCAAAAAAAATCCGGCACACAGCACTGCGAAGACGGTCTCATTATCAAGCATTCAACAGATCCTGCTGCTCCAACTGCAGCACACGGATCAGCAGGCGCTCCAGCCGCCCAAATCGGGCATTGATCTGCTGGTGCCCCAGCAGATGCTCCTGACGCATCTCCTGCAGCTGCTGCAAAATCAGCTCTTGTCCCTCCTCCAGACGTTCCACACGCGTATGGATGTCGTTGATGATCGTCACGGCTCCCCGCAGCTCTTCTTCCACATTCTGCACACGGTGGTTCACTGCACGGACTTCCGCCAGAGTTGCCGATGTGGTCGCCTTCAGCGCCGTGATCTCCTTGTGCATGTAGTGACGACTAATTGCTGCCTCGTGTCCAAACACGCGCATACGCGCCCCAATTTGCCGGATATACGATTCCACGTGCGCGGCGTGGCTGGCTGTCGGTGCTGGGCGACTGCGCTCTGTCTCGCGCAAATATTGACGGGACCCATCCAGCGCGTGCACTGCCTCCGGAACACTGATGTTCAGTCGCATTACGCTGTGGAGAGGTGGATCGTCAACATCCTGTCAAAAAAACACAAGCGATCAGGCAGTGTTGCACAATATATGAGACGGCAATCCAAGCAGGGAACACAATATTGCGAAATGTAGATATACATGTAGAAATGTGTATATTAGAAGTACTCGAACTAACCATCGCCTCGTAGACTTGTGGATTGTTTTGAGCCATCTTGAACTTGGTGAGAGTGTGCTGTAAATCTGCAAAAAATAATCAGTTATGAAGCTGCTTGAGAGTTTAGAAGCTACGGTAAATGCCAGAATTCTGTTCACAGAGTATCATTTTAATAAAATCAACTGTTTTAGGTTTTTTAATCAGTTAGACGAGACCACCTTTTGGGGAAAAATTGCCGTGTCGGTAGAACTTTAAAAATGGCCGGGAGCAAGCACTGAGTAACGAACTTGCGCTGACCACGTAAACAATAAACAAATGACCGGGTTGCGGAAGGTCATATACTAGGAATGATAAAAATCATAAAATTTGTTCTTAAAATGCGGCACACTCGCAGTTACATCCTCAACTTTGACCGCCGAATACATAATGCAGAATATTACTGAATATGCAATGCCGATAAGTTTCTCGACAGCTCAGTTACCTGCCTGACTGCAGTACAATAAATTGGTTCGCAGTATCGATATCTACGCATTAAATTTTACATGTTAAGAAGAAAATTAAAAAGATAACATAACAGACATGACGTATTCTTATCGAGAACCGCTTGAATCGCGACGCCAAAGGTGAGAATGACATATGGAAGCGAGTAAACATAAACACGCGCAATAAACCGCGCAAGTTTCTCATAATAAGTAACGACGATAGTAAATTCCAAACATGGCAAACAAATTGCAGGGTGCGTAGGCGAGCAATTCTTCACACATGATATTAATAATTATTTTCACTTAATTTCTGAACACATACTTCCCGAGTACGAACGTTTTCAGGGAAACATAAGTGTTTTTCTGAATACACACTTTCTGGTTTTTCTGAAAACACTTTTGTCAGATTCCTAGCATCTCAAAATCAGCTGAAATGTTTAGCGAATGACTTTTTCGTTTTAATTATAATTATTGAGTAGCTGTCCGTGCCGAGCATATGTACTCTGGCGGCACAAATAAATACCAGCATAAGAAAACAACCACCGAATTTTCTGATTCTAAAAAAACTCTGAAAAGTTTGATTTGTAAATTACAGTTGCCATGCATTTGCAATTTTTAAAACTTCAAGCGGTATCGTGACTGCGGTTGCACTGGTTTTGTCTGTAAGAAGGATTCAGTGCACCAAGTATTGCACTCTGTACTATACTCCACACAAAAAACACTCAGACATCTTCCAAACTATTTTCTAAAGAAGTGACTACAGTCTAGAGTCCAGACTGCGAGAAGAATCAGTTTCACATTCAGAGGCACGGTGAACGTTACCATCCAAATTCTGATAAGGGCGGCGAGTTCTTTCAGTTTCGGAGTTATGTTTTAAGGGATGTACGTAGATAAGTATCTGGCATTTGGCGAGAATTTTTCGTGATAATACTACGAGCATTTGGCGAGAATTTTTCGTGATAATACTACGAGTACTGTGTACAGTAGTAACAGTACTAACCTGCGACTGACCAAAGAATTTAAACAGCATCAGCCGAGTCATCGTAAAATGTACAACGATGATAAGTCCTACTGCTACGTCGTATCATGTACGTATCATAAATTTCAGTACCACCTAATTACGGTGAGTTGTTTTCAAAATTAATAGTAAGCGGTAACTATCTGTAGATGTTATAGATACACTGCTAATTATGTTGTTGAAAACTTATTATCAATGAATTTCCTCATTTAATTGTACATAAAGCACTCTTTGAATTCTGTCACCTACCTAAGAAGTTTGCACAAGATTTAGGTACAACACGTGCGAACAGACGCAATTATTACCAAACTATCCGTACGAATGCAATCTACAAGTACCTGGTAATTTTAATTACAGTAATTCAAGTTTTATCTGAACAGTACGCATTTGTACAACAATCCCAGAATAACAAAAATAATGTACATAGTGATGTAATCGCACTATATCTGCGTACAGTTTTAATTTTCAAAATTACAGTACATTAAATTTTTCATAATTTTTTAAAATTTTCTAAAAATGAAATGTCAACGAGTCGCGCAGCAACATCTACCAACTGAGGCGGGCAAATAAGAATTAAGAAAAATTTTAAATTAAATCATCTTTATAAATCTTTTCTCGATAAAATTTCAGCAAAATCACCGTAACAAGCAAACGGACATGCTTTACTATTAGTCAATATCAGCGAAGCTGATATATATCTGCAGATAGGTTCTAATTTTAAAAAAAATCCGTAAAATTGTTGATCCCGTTTGCGCTTTCGCTGACCGTAACTTCAGTCGCATGCTTCAGTCGCATGCTTCAGTCGCATGCGCTTCGCCTGCATGAAAAAAACGGTGGCGTAATCCTCACAGCAACAACGAAATGCTTCCCTATTAATAACATTTATATGGAAAGACAGTTTTATATGTTTCGGATGAGTGATTCACAAAAAACCGCATCCGATACACAGGTTTGCATGTCGGTTCATGCAAATCGCTTTCAGCGCTGACTGATAACGCCTGGATAGTTATAATTTTATCTCGTTCAGCATGAATATTGTCGTGATTCGGCAAATTTCATTCGAAAAATACTAAAATAATTTTAGCTAGCAATTCACCTTAAGCTTCTACAGCTTCCATAAACTTACAAGATTAATTAATCTTGTTGAAGATGTACGAGCATCATTTGCACGAGTTAATGTGTATACGTAGAAGCTAAGTCAATTGCGATACTTCGACCCTATTACTAAAAAAATTTGTATTACACCCTGAAAGATTGGGCATTCTTGTTTTTTATGCGTAGTACTCCGTAATTGATTACGGAATGTGCGCTTAACACTGTAATTATGCATAAGCGCAAATCACCTTATTTTTTCCTGCATGCTAGCCAGAAGCTTAGCCAAGATGTAATTATAATATATTTTATTGCATTCAAAAAACTCCCGGTAGCAATGGTAGCGCCAAATTAAATATTACTTAAATTAATCTCCTTCAGACTCAGAGGAGAGAGACAGAGTGCGCACAATAAAAGCGATATCGCTAGCTGACTTATTTCTGTAGCAGCTAAATTATTAAAATTTACAGAGTATACTTTACTTTGTAAATTGTAACAAGGCACTGTAAGTAATAATTATTACGTAATAAGACACTGTAAGTGCGACAGTAGGCAGATGAAATTTTCATTAGCGCCGCGAAATGCTAATTGATAACGTTAATTACTGAACATTGTACTACTTTGTACTTCTTATAATTATGCATCCATTGAAACGGTCCGCTTTTGTATGCAGTACTTCAAACTAACACAATCAATCCAACAGAAATGCTTGATTATCTGATAGTTTGCCGGTGGTAAAGCTAAATTCATCTATATTCATCTACACAATAAACCTCTCTATAATATAACAACATATACATTGTTCATATTATACATAAAGATAAAAGAACACCGCGCAAGTTGTAATTCATTTATTTTATTATTTAGGCATGTTTCTACTTGTATATTCATTAATCGTTATGGTCAATCAACAGAAGACATTCAACGGTTCATAGCTGAAAACGCAATGTCATAGCAAAGGGGCACGTACGCGTACATCACTGATGTCAAAAAAAGTCTCTTATCAGGATTCACACAGAGTGACATCCCAACGGCTGCGTGTATCATACAGTTCCATTGCGGGTGCAGCACTTGTTAGTTGTTAGTGAATGCGTTCGACAAAACTTGATGTTTCAGTCGAGCGCAATCTTCGTACCGCGCTGCACCAACACGGAAATTCTTGATTTCCTTTGTTTTCAATGCTACTAATTATCCGGCGCGGCAAGGAATTTAACTGATGGTATTTATTGGGATGCATGTAAACTGACAGCATCCGTGTCTATCCTTGACTCTTTCAGGCAAAAATTATTTACACCGCCTGGCCAGTGCAGCAGTACGTATCTTATTACAAATTAATACCTATTTCTTTGTTTTGGGAAGTAGCAATTGCGAATCGTTGTACTAAAACTGCGCACAATGTACCGGTATTCTCTAACTGCATGACAATCGAACTGGATGCTCAGTGCTATCAAACGAAATTGGTGTGGATGGTTGGGTGACATATAGAAACTGGCAGTTGTCCACCGAGGAGGAAAAATGCATTTTTCAGAAAAGATATGCAAAGCGGGATTACTGACATGTTCGTTGCCAACTTGCCGGTATAATTTCTGTCAGTCGAAAACTTTTCCATACACTCATCCCCAACAACTACTGAATCTAAACCGTCAGTAAATTCCTGTTGATTAAATACGAAAAATGGCTACGTACACAAAAGGGTCTTCAAATAACTAATTAGTATTCCAATACAAAGTACAGAAATTTAGGAGACAGACGCAAAGAGTTTCAAGAGAAAAAGCAGTATTTTTACCTAGATATTTTTTGCCGGGTTACGACAGAATAATTCAGGACAAATTTTGTCTTTTTCAAGACAAAAAAACACTGATTTAAGGGTGATTGTGATCCATACGTTTTCCATCTGAGTAAACGTCTAAATCGATGTACCGATATTACTATGATTCATATGTTGCTTATTGATGGGGCTTACTGATACGAGAAAAATGATTGAAAATTCTAATGCTTATGGTAATACAAAGCCGTTTTTGGGTGAAAGACGCTACAAAAACACCGCGTACGAAATCTAATGAGAATTATTAGTACTTATTACGGGAATCATATACATTATTAGTACTTATTACGTACATAATTACTAATAAGAAACAAAAAGTTAAAGGAAAGTAATTCAGTGCTTCAGTTACAGGGTACTTGGCACGCAGGCAGCAGATCGGAAAAACTCGTTTAAAGAACGCTACATCACACTGTCCTGCATCAGAGAAACGAGATCTTACTGCTCCCAGTTTAAATATGTTGCTATAAAAGTAACAATTTTAAGAAGAGTGCGGTTCGGCGTAGGCTAAATGATTTATTATGCAAAATACGCGAAAATTGTCAGAAAAGGTCGCTGCACATTTGATGAACTCAGGAACCTTTATCTCACGAAATAATGACCTTCCACATGAGTAAACTGAATGTACACCATATCAGAATACTGCAGTTAATAAAATTAATAATTTTAGTTGAGTTAGTAACTCGAGAAACAAGGAAAACTACTGGCTTGCACTGCGTTCGCCGATTTCTTCGCTTAAAGATAACATTGCTGATGCAGTCACTTCCCTGTACGCTGGCTTGCGCCGTCGGTTAGACGTGCAACGCTCCGGCACGAACTCGTAGAACTGGCTGACGTAACGGAGAAACAGCTTCTCAAAAACTTGCGCCGTGCGAAATTCTCACCGCTAACTTCTACAATTTTTCCATAAAAATTTTCAAAAAAACTCAGACTCTCAGATGACTGAAAGATCAGTTCAGTCTATTTTCCTCAAAGGCAGCTTCCATCAATTAACACTACGCTTTGCGGTTAACAGCAAATTAGTTCCAGTGCGCCAACGAAAATACTAATTTTTAAAATTTTAAAGATCAGCGGAAAGGAAAAAAATAACGACGAAAAGAAATTTCTCAACGAAAACTATTGGTTCATTCTAATTTAAGCTAGGAATCGTACCTGTCAACCGTAAAAACCTTCCGAAAGGTGAGCGCTCCGAAAACCGCGAACCCGAAGACCTCCGCCGACGAACGAGACGATCGCGATTTCCTAGAAGAAAATAAACCAAAACGTTTTACGTATTTTTGCGGATATAAATTCTTATTAGCATAATGATGTCATGGTTAAAAATATTTCACCTGCCAGTGTTCACTTACACAATTAATATTACAAAAAGCAGTTTAAAAATCTGTTAATTAGCGACGAAATTCGGACTGAGTTAAAATGAGGCACGCTTCAACGCTCCGCGACGAAGAACGGTGAATGAGGTAATCGAGCGAAAATTCTTGGCTGCGTGTCTCGTTTTGACGGGCGTTTCTTCCCTTCCACCGGCGCAACCGAGTTGATTGAGCAATACAGTACTTCCGTCGTACAAAAGACGTACGAGTGCGGCCGCCTCTTCGCTCTGCTCAGCCAACCGCGAGTTGACCCACGAATTACCTGCCGTCGGAAAACACTGTCGAATGTCTGGTCGGGCGCACCTCTTCGTGCCAGCCAGGAATGTTTCGTCGTATTAACGATTCGAACGCGCCCGGTGCCTGGGCGCGCTGCCAACTGGATTTTGCAAAATTTGCAAGTTTTGCAGGCTATCCCGGAGCTCTGGTCTGCTAACACACTGCTGTACCGCGCGAGCATTCCCTGTACTGGGGTCACACGCATGTGCGCCATTGGGAAGAAGCGTTTCGGGCGAAGATTTCCGTAACCATTAGACTGTTTCTCGAATGCTCCATAGAACAGCATCGTTTTACCAATTTTTTTTTTAATTTTATTGAATTCTTTACATGCAGGCATCGAACTGAGGTACATACCGCGGATAATGCCGTGTCAGCGTAATTTACTTATTTTTTTGTGAAAGCGTCATTTTCTTTTTATATTGTGATAACACAATTTATTTTTATTTATAATAACGTAATTTATTTATTTTTTACACAAAGTGTAATCGCTGCGAATGTGATCGAATCAACATTGCAAATTGTGAAAAATGCGGAAATCAAATCGCTTTGATTTCCGCATTTTTTACAATTTGCAATGTTGATTCACATTTTATTTGTACGTATTTTACATGTATTTACATTAACATTTTATCCACGTTGATTTGATTTATCCTAATGTTAAATTTCATTTTGGCGCACGCATGATTACTTTAAACTCGATATTCGTATACCGTATGATGTCCGTATCCAATGATTCGTGCTCGTCGCGTCATATACGTATAAAAATAAATTAAATAATAATATCAGTAATCGGTTAAAAGCAAGCAACTAGCAAATACGGCTGCCAAAATTATTTATTTCATAAATTACAAATGAAAGAGTGGGAAATTTCTTTACTTTCATCGTTATTAATTACGGTGACCGTCGTGTATTCTTTCATATACAAATTTGAAAATGAAAATCTTGTCAAGTTCACATTTTTCGCAATTATGCCATTGTACGTACGTGCCTATAATTCGTCTATTGCATATTTAAACACAAAAGTAATAACTATTTATAATACCATAATTATTTGTAAAAAGCAATTAGTAACTGAGCATTTTCTCACACAACTGCTATGATCGATAATACAAGCTACCAACATTAACTTGCTTCATAAATTATAAAAGAAAGTCTGTTATACGTGATTATTAATCGTAAATACAAATACATGATTAATTAAATAAACAAGTTTTGATCTACAGAGTACATGATTAATTTCTGTATTTTCATTGTAATTAATTATGGCAGTCACCGTATTTCTTCGAATACGGTATTTGCTATTCGGCATAATGTCGGGTTCGTCAATTAATTATCATTTCCGTCATTAAGACAATATATCTGTACATACGCTTTGTATATGCTGTACACGCGCGTTAATTCCGTAATTACACCGTACTGCGTGTACCTGCAGTTCATTTCCATCACTTAGCAGGTTAGCAGTTATAAGCACATCCCGCCGGGATGCAGGTTTTAAATTATTCCGTGTAATATGGAATCATGGATGGACGGCCAGAATTCACAATGGTAACGTGCTAGGTCGCGCATCTCATAATATATAATATATAAGAACATGAATTCGATAAATGATATCCGCAGTCCAATAAACAATAAACTGAACTACTGTTTCAATATTGATCCTTCCGGCACAAAATATATATCGCACAGATCGATCCACGCAATGGACTTGTCGATAATTCGTAATTACATATAATAATATATGTTTGTGCATTGCGTGTATGCGAGCACATTGTTAATTAATCGCTAATACCAAGTTCACAACGCATTTATTGCGAAGAAGACGCGATTATCGATATATATTTACCGACATGTTGTACATATGCACGGTTTATATCATACAGAACAGCCACCGATCCCGAAATATCCTTCAAAAGTCAAAACCAGCGAAATACAAATTAAATAAAACAACTTTCGGTCACAAAGAAATGTGAAATACATTGTATATCATCCAGCACTAGCACACATCGGATCATGGCTGCAGAGTGGAGACTGCAGGGACGGGCGTCACTGCTCTATCCTCAGCCGGTACAAATGTTTTAGCCGTGTTTTATCGGCGCCAGGAATGTGGATCGTTTTCTCCCTTGATTAATTCAATGACATTTCTGCGTGCGTTATCAGTGAACGTGCTGCACTTCATGTTATTTGTTAGATTGATCCCAGCGAAGCTGTCTCCATGGCCGTTAGTCTGCTCTTATCACCAGTGTTTATGGAAATGTGGCGGTAAATCATCTCTGAAAATTTTGCCGATTTATCTGATTAACTGGAACATGATTAGTGTGAACCCTGTGAACGCACAAGATAACTTCGATAATTAATAAGCTGGTTTCACACTGCTTATTTGCATTTTTGCAATAAATTTACTATGTCTGCTGTAAATACAGTGAGAATGGAATCAGTAACATTTGCCTACTCACACGTTACTGATGAAAAAAATTGTTTCGCTATTTATGGATTATCTGAGCGTTTGCGCTATGTACGGCAGTTAACGTAGCTACAGCTACATACTTTGTAACAACTTTCACTGTACAAAAACAAGATAAATAGTTACGCAACCATATACAGAGTACGCATTTGTTAATGACACTTTTGTGGTGTTATCATATTTGTTTATCAGTCTGGGCGCGAGATTTCCACTGTAATTTGACTAATTTGGTTGTTGAAATGATGCGCTAATGTACCGGTGACTAATTAAGCTAAAAACAGATTAATAAAGCAGGCTAATTCACAAGTTTAATTTGCCAAAGCAGGTTTGGCCGATGGATCTTAAGCCATTTCTGTTTGTGGTAAAGTTAGCATGCAAAAAATAAATTAATAATATTATTTTTTCTATAACGTGGGGTAAAAAACACTAACCAAAATTGACATACTTATACTAAAGTTACCTTTAAGTATTGTCCATAATCACTACCTTCAGAGATTTGAAGTTCTGGTGCTGGTCATGCAAAGTAAATCGCTAACCTCCGACGATACTGCTACTGCACTGATTTGCTCAACTATGTTGCTCAACTAAGAAAGTAAAAATAAGTAAGTATAAGTAAAGACTAAAGAGTATCATTATAGTGATTATACGCCTGACCATGAGCAACGGCAGTTGCTTTGGCTAAAGAAACGTGAAAAGGTCATGCGTGATGCATGTTAAGTAATACTGGCATGCTTATGAGTGCAGAGCGTCGTTGGTAACTGGACAGAAGGAGTCTAGCAAGTAGCAGCTGACCAGTGGCTAATTTAGTTGTCTGAATGCTGTGAAAGTAACCATTGAGTATCCACTGACGGTGAGCAGCAGTTATAGTGTCCACTGGTCAGTGATGACGGATACTCTGCTCTAACGCAGCGCAGCGTAGTGTGCACGCTTTTTACTGTTTCCAGTGTAAGAAATATATTAAGTCTACGATAACGATGTGTGTATGTAAACGATATTAAGAATATAATATTACTATAAACTACAAAGTACAAACCCACTTATTATATAATATAATACGAAAACTTTTACTAATTTTTGATATATTTTTTTGTTTTATGATATAAACGACAGATTTTTTCCTGCCAGCCTAACTGGTTACTGTGCTAAAGAAAACTGCAAAGGTCACGCGTGACAAGCTGTTTATTTTTTACAGAGTTTGATATGCGAATGCAACGTTCATCGTTGACAATTTGTTTTGGCACACCATCCGCTGCCTTATTCAGCTGTAAAATGATAACTTGCCATTGGCCAGTGACGGCTGATACTGTTGCGCAACCCAAGTATCGATACGCTGCAAATTATCAGACAACTTAGGTCAGAAATGGTCTGATAGAGCATTGACCAATGATCATTGGCACAGGCAATAGTAGGAATATCACGTAGCCACTGGGCACTGGTCTATCCTCTAGCGCAGCGCAAGTACGGATGCATCTGCAGGCCACTGGCTAATTCAGTTGAACGAATTCTAGGTAGCTACTGGTCAGCGACGGCGCCGCACTCTAGCGCAAGCGCGCGCATTGCTTCGAATGCTTGTGCATTTCAGTGTGCACACTCTGCAGTGCACGCAATGTGCAGGAAACGCTGTTCACTGCACAGTGTGCAGTGCACGCGATGTGCGGTACACGCTAAAGATCCGATTGGACACAGATCGCAAATTACAATCGCGATGGTAAAAAAATGGAGGGAAAGATATGTTTTATGTGTTTTGGCATCCTTTATATGCTGCAAATCCAGAAAAAGTTTTAAACATAATATACTGAATTTCCGCAATTAACGCTGAATTATATAACGTAGCCCGTAGGTGATTTCACCTACATTTTTCATAAGAACAGCGATCCGTGGTAAGTTACATAACCAGTCTGCATCTGGAATAATTAGGAATTATTTAGTAGATCTTAGGGAACTCGTAGATTGTAAATTTATTTTGTTGTTGCAGCAAATGCAGTACACAGCACATGCGCACAAATAGACAATAATATTTGCACACATGAAACACAAAAATTTGTCTTATTTGGAGTTAGGAATTTTACCGTCCGAATAGGCTGCGACGCGAAGCACAGTTTCGGAATGTCCAAGGTAATGGTGCTATTTCTGCGGGAGCGACCAGCCGGTAACTATTCTGGCTGAGCAGCAGCAGTTGAATAAGGTCATCGAAGGCTCCATGATAAGTTGTCCTCGGTGTTGTTCCATGCCATAAACGACATCGCCGCGTCAGCGCTTCTAGTCAGTCGTCTATGACAGGCTCACCGTGGTAATGGCGCTGTGGTGAACTGAACGGGCGTCCTTTGCTTCGTAGCAACGATGCATAAGAAGTACGTTCAGTACGCCACAGGCGCCATTGCGCCGGGCGGCGGATTGCCACGGCACGACCACGTTGAAAAGCGGTTGCTTAAGCGGTACAGCTGCCGTCCACGCAGGCGCAACCGACCTCGCCGGCGCTGTGGTCGACAAATCACCGGACGTCAATCGCCATGGCAGTCAAGTGTCAAGATCTCCGACACTATGTGCACGGCAGCGATCCCAACGGTAAAGGTGGTCGGGTTATCGTTCTCCGGGTACACGGGTGGTATGGGTCGATGGTTGAATCGGATCCCGGTCGCAAGACGAACTTCACGTCGGGTAAATGTATATAAAGCTCTATATTAAATCACTCGTGTTAAAAGCTGACGCGCACATAACCAAAATTATATATACAATTACAAAGAAAATTATTTGTTAATTTCTTATAAACAGCTTGTATACTCGTATATTTCAGACTAACGAAAATTTATTTATTTTACATTTGTAAAATTTACTTGTTACAGTGAGACTTATTACAAGCGAAAAATCGTACGTACAGCGATTCAATGCAGCCAAGAAGCTGCAGTATTTTTGCTGGCATCAGTGGCATGTACCTTTCTGTAGATGCATCTGATCGCACAACTTTGGCAAAGTTATATCCATATAACCATCCACTCGTATTTTCTGTATTCATTTTGAAGAGGTTTGCGGGTTATTTACCAGCTTTGACCTTTGTGCCGATGCGATGGCACGTTTTTCAACGTATCTTAGAGTAGTCCTTGTACAGGCTCCTGCATCCAGAGTAGATATTGATACGCAGCGGGAATAATTCCACAAGATGGAACAGAGAGCAATCCAAGCACATTGTAATCGCAGACGGCATCATTTTGTGCATGATAAACGGTAGAAAACGGGAGGAAACACGTTCCGTAACGCGCAGTCCTAATAATTATTACCAGTGCAATACCTTCATCAACAAGTTATACAAAATAATTCGGTAACCCTTTCGGAAAGCTAATTAATAGACTAATAGAGTTACAAATTGAGGCACTCGTTGTAATAATCCGGACAACCATAGGACGCAAGTAGACGAACCATATACAATGCATCTGCGATGTGCGGAAGAAAAGGCCTGCAATTTCTATACTTAGATTGTACAAGATAAAGACGTTTATGTTGGTTCCTGCTGGGCACGATCGGCATCAATTCTGAAATTTTGTAGAGTGCCGAATCTGTTAAAGCAAGAACGCTTTGGTAAGTTTGGTTGCACTCACCCAGCAACATCAGCATTTCCTCTGGTGAGTAGTGAATCAGCCCTTCTTATCTCGTCATGCGCCAGTGTTGATGTTTCCGGCATGGGCATTTTGCGAGCGGCATAGTCGTTCACTGCGGCGGGTACCAAGTTTCCAAGCCAAGTACCAAGTTTCTGATCTTTGTTCTTTTGGTTATTGCGCGGTCAAGGGCACAGGCGAGGCTATCTCGCAGTTCAAGGCCAAAGAGTTCCGCCGGAAACTCGCTGACCTTGAATCGTGAGTTCGCCATTCGCTCGATCATTCTATCTTTCCAGGCGTAGGCGTCCACAGGCACGCGGGTACGCTAGTCCAGATTGTTGGATCCCACCTCCGCACTCTCTTGAAGAAGCAAAAACCTAGGCTAAATTCACACAAACTGCTGCTGCTCGACTATTAACCTCGGCTTGGCGTGTGTTTCTCAGGTGTAACAGTACTCCGGATATTCGTTCATCCTCAAGAAGTACCCCGTGCACTTCGAAAAGCAAGATAACACAGTTATTTGAATCTCACAAGTAATACCTGTAATGCAAAAGCGCGAAGAGAGCAAGAAAATATTATTTCTGCTTCGAAAGGAATTCAAGGGAAAGGAAATTTGAGCACTCAACTTTTAAAAAATAAAATTAAGATGAAAACATTATTGTAGTTGTCCGATAAAAAGTGTCCGTTGTCCATACTTGTGTTTAATTATATTACGTTAACTGCTGTGCTATTTAAATGTACATATACCTGTACTACCTGTTTTAAATTAATGTACTACCTGCGAGATTTGATATCTGGCCAACACGATTGTCATCCTGTTCTCAACTTCTCCATCATGTGCGATTAACCTCATTTTACCTGCAATTTGCAAACATGGAAACATGAACACAAGCAGCAAAACGTTCGTACACATCCAACTAGCGCAGTTAAGATGACTTAACGCAACCTCGACAGTTACAACTTATACCGGTCTTTTCCAAAATTTAGGCTTGCTTGCGCTTGGGCATTTGACGATTAATCGTATTTA